CCCCCCCCCCCCCCCCACCCTTGGGTGTCGCGGGTTGTTCCTCTCTAAGGTTAACAGTACTTCCTCCGCCCATTTATTGACGACAACTTGCTAGAGCCCTTTAGCATTTTCTCTTCGAGTTTAAATGTTTGGAAAAAAAAGGGAGCGTAACATTGATTTTTATGAGTGTCAAAAAAGAGAATGCTTGTTGACTGCTTCAAAGTTACGTAATAAACCGGTAATTACTCAAAGATAAATTGGATTAGCCTTAAGCCCATCCGCACCAAATAATATCTATACTTTGAGAAACGTAAGGTGGTTTCTTTATAAGGGTTAGAAGGTTACATAAAAAGCCATTTATTTCTCCGACATTATTTGATACCAGCCACAGAAAGAATTGTTAATTGTTGTTGTTATGTTATAAGACCCTTTGCATAATGCAGTCGGTAGATCCTGAGTCGGTATCCTGCCAAGACTTTAGACACCGTAGGGCACGAAATGTTTGCGGGAGTTTATTTTTACGGCATGCGATTTTTTGTGTTTTGCAGGAACTAATTTTTGCGGTTAGGACAGATTGGTTTTTCTTGCTGGGAATTAATTTTTGCGATTTTTAGAAAGTACCCAGTACCCAGCATTGACAATATTTTCGTTTTTATTGAGTACGTGCAATAGAAATACGTATTTTCAAACAATAAACCAGTACAGTCGTTGTATACCGTTTTGTTTCTGAATGAAAGAGACAAGTTGTGATTGAACAGACGCGCGATTTATTAGTCCTGTATTTTTGTGTAGCGAATTTAACTTTTTAGAGAATATTTACTCTGGAGTAAATTTTTGCAGGAAAAATGTTTGCGGTAATTTTTATTTGCGGGAACTTATTTTTGCGGATCGCTGGGATAAAAAGCAAAAATCGCAAAAATTAGAGCCCGCAAAAATTTCTTGCCACACGGTAGGTGCTAATACAGATCACATTTACAGGAAATAGATCAGATTCTGTTTCACAGTCACATATCATGACAAGAGATAATGATCTCTCTTGATTATGATAAGTGTTTTAACAGATGATAGTGTGGTAAGCCAACAAACGTTTGGGTCATGGAAAATTGCGATTTTTTTACATACATACATACATACTTTATTGGCTCGTCCCCACGGGGCTTTTCAGAGTCAATTTTACATTACAAAATTATAAACCAAGTACATGACAATAAGAATATAATAATGATAAAAGAAGACAAAGGTCAATAAAATTAATTAAATTAATTAAATAAAGCAGTCATTAAGAAGCTTTTGCCTGAGTAAACACTTGAATTCCGTCACGGATGGGCTAAGTTTGAGCGCAGGCTGCAACTCATTCCAGAGAGAGGTTGCTCTATATTGAAAGGTCCTTTGGCCGCTGGCAGTGCGGAAGAGTGGTATGTTCAAAAGTTGAGAATTTCTCGTATTCCTTGTCGAGACGGCGGATCTTCCAACGAGCTTTGATGTCAAATACTCCGGAGCACAACTCGTCATGCACTTAAAAACCAGAACAGCAAAACGAAAATAAAGTTGTTGCCTGATTGGTAGCCAGCGCAAGTCTTTTAGCAAAGGAGTTATGTGATCGAATTTTTTAGCGCCGCTCAAAATACGACAAGCGAAATT